CCTTCCCGCGTTTGGGGGGATGGGGGGTCAATGTTCAAACGATTTGGGCCCCCCGGGATAAAGGGTCCCCCCCCCCCCCCCCTGGGGGGTAAAGGGTTTAAGGATTAGGGCATGCCGGATTAGGGGTCCCCCCCCCCCCCTTCCTTTCGAGGACGGGTGGTCAATGGTTTAACCGCTAAGGCATGCAAAACATAAGAGTACGCCCCCCCCCCCCCCCTCCGCCTACCGAATGTGAACCGCTTGGCTAGCCGGGATGCCCAGTCCACCTTTTGGCATATCTGGTTTGGCACAGCAATGGCAAGCATGTTGGCCAACTTCTGGTCCATTCTTGCACATGAAACGTGCTGTAGCCTGGGCCGGCGAAAACCCGGGCGTACAGTATCGCTCCGTCGCGGCACGCATTGGATGGATGCGAGGTCAATGGTCTAACGACTACGGCATGGCGTGCCTTTACATGGATACCCCTGCTTTGTCCCTCGTGGGATTTCCCGCAGGTTTCGGAGGCGTTGGCATACCTATTGCCCGGCGAGGTCAAGGGTCTGCTGCGCGAGCTTCTTCGCGCGCTTCCTTCGGCCAATCAAAGGGCGGCGGCGGCGGCGGCGGCGACCGATCCCAGCGCCGCCGCTGATGCTGATGCTGATGCTGAAAGCGGCGCAATTAGTGCTACCACGGGTTCCGACGATGCTTCGACGGACGATCGTTCCCCGGAACTTTCTGGGAGCACTTCTCCGGAACGTTCCGCGGAACGGTCTGGGAACACTTCTCCGGAAATTTCCCTGAAAACGACCTCTCCGGGCCCTTCTTCGGAACGATCTCCAACAAAACGTCGGGAAATTTCTGGGAAAAAAAGTTCTCAAGAACGTCCTCCGACAATATCTCAGGAACGTCCCGCGGAAAATTCTCGGGATTTCTCCTCCTCTCCGACTGCGCCGCTTGTGGTCCAGGGTCTGGATCGAACGGAAGCCGACTACCTGAGGCGAGGTGCCGAGAGGGTGCTGGGGCAGTGGGGCAGGGCTGAACAGGAGGGCTGGGCGGAGGTACGTGGACTACGGCAATTGACTGTGGGTGTATCTCGAAAGGGTGTAGTCTTTCTGTGCGTGTATTTATTTTTCCTTAATTGTCGTAGAGATGGCACCCCCGTGTTTGCGTTTTTCTTTTGGCGTATTTCTTCACAACCACTGCCGAAAACTTTTTTGTTTTGTTTTGTCTTCACTTCAAATCAGCGCTCACAGCACTAGGGTATGTACCACTGCCGAAAACGTTTGTTTGGAAACGTCTCGTGGAGTGCTTTCCTGAGAGGTGTTGGTTGGTGTTCGCACCCTCCTAGTTGAGGGAGAAGTACGGGAAAAGGAAACGCCATTTTAACACGGGGGTGCCATCTCTCCGACTCTTACGGTACGCTGCTGTCCGTGCCTTGGGGGTGATGTGTTGTGTGTGTTTTCGTCCCCGTGTGTGTTTGTGTCGTGATGGTCGTTGTTGTTGTTGTTGTTGTCGCTGGTGTCGGTGTCGGTGTTGTTGTTGTTGTTGTTGTTGTTGTTGTTGTTGTTGTTGTTGTTGTTGCATTTGTGTCCTGTGTAGCAAGTGTGGCGGCAAATGTTGCGTCTCGTTTCTCCGTGAGGCCGAGCTGTCTCTACGTCTGAAAATGTACGGGGAAAGTGCCGATACAGGCTCCATGCGCGTCTAGTCTTTTTCCAGTTCTCTGCTTTTTTCTTTCTTTTTTTTGCGTTTTCTCACTGTCAACGACCTGGATGCTGCTGCTGTGGAAACGACCTCCTGTCTTTATTCTCGGACCGTAAGAAAGTTGAGGCATGCGTGGCCTATGTTATTTTGTCCATCCCAATCCTCTGTTCCTTCTTCTTTGACATTTGCGCCCTTTATTCATTCGCCATCGCTCGCTCTCCCCCCCTCCCTCTCCCCCTCCTCTCTCTCTCTCTCTCTCTCTCTCTCTCTCTCTCTCTCTCTCTCTCTGCCTATCTCTCTTTCTCTCTCTCTTTCTCTCTCTTTCCCGCTCTCTCTCTCTCTCTCTCTGCCTATCTCTCCCTCCCTCCCTCCCCCCCTCCCCACTTTCATGTTTTTTTTTTTCTCTTTGGTGCTTACTACCGGCAGCCCGACGATAACACCATCGAATGGGGCCGCTCCACCTCCTACCTCAACACCTGCGCGACAAGCGGCGGAACCTCAGGGGGAGGCGGCGGCGGAGGCGGCGGAAAGTCTGCCGGTTCGAGGGGTAACCGCCTCTTCTCCAGGCAAGACGCCCCTACTTTTTTCGGTCGGTTGCGGCGGAACCTTAACCTTTCTCCGCGACGTTTTTTTTTCTTTTCTGATTTCAACACTACAATTCCATCTCTATCCGTAGTGCTCCGCTACGCTATGAATTGCGGTTCAGGGGTCACGCGGAAGAGGAATATATCTCGACCCCCCCCCCCCTCTCCCCAGAATTCCTCCTGTCTGTTGTGGCCCTCGTTGTTCTCCTCCTCGGTCTAGTCACCCTATTTGTTGTTCTACTTATGGCTTCATCTGTTTTCATACATGAGGGTCTAGGATATATTGGCAAATGAATTCATAGCGTAGCGCAGCACTAACTGTGTTCTGCGAGGCCCCAAGCAGCATACTGTACTAGCGCAAAATATCGTGCGGGGGGCACGCGGGAAGAAGGATGTCTCTTGCGGACCCCCCAATCTCCATCCTGTTGTTCAAGCCTTCGATTCTTGCGCGATAACGTTGTGGACTCAGGAATCGCGGCATGCTGCTGATGTCGTTTCGTTGGTGTTGATGTAACAGCATATATGAGTGCTTCAAGATGTCCCGGTGTTCTTTAGCGTGGTCTAGAAACCCCCCCCCCCCCTTTCCCGCCCCTTCTCTGCGTTGAATCCCCGTCACCCCCGTCACCCTCCATGCGACTCGCCGAAAACCTCGCGGCGCTTGGCGGTTGGTGATGTGAGATCGTGGTCCGGTGAGAACCCGGCGTGCTCCGTCCCGGCTTTGTACGCATGCGAGGCCAATGGTCTTACGACTACGGCATGCACGACTATAGTACACCCACACACACTCTTTTGCTGCTTGCAACGTTAAAACAGTGCTCTTCTTCGCCAAAGCTCGTCAGGAGGAGGAGGAGGAGGAGGAGGAGGAGGAGGAGGAGGAGGAGGAGGAGGAGGAGGAGGAGGAAGAGGAGGAGGAAAAGGAAAAGGTATTTCGCGAGGGAGAGTAGGAGGATCCGGACACGTCCCAGCCCAGCGAAACGCTGCCGCCGCCGCCGCCGCCGCTGCTGATGGTGCTACTGCTGCTAGTGTTGCTGCTGCTGCTGCTACTGTTGATCGTGCTCCTGCTGCTACTGCTGCTGATGGTTCTCCTGCTGCTGCTACCTCTACTGCTGCTGTGGCTGGTGGTGGGGGGGGCGGTGGAGGGGCTAATGGTACTCCTGGGAGCACTCACCGCGTAACAAGTCGGAGCCGTCAACCGGCCGGGTCCGAGAACGGGGGGGCTCCCTCGAATGCAGAAGACAACCAGGACCAGGTACTACCTAGTATTGGCGCATAGGCGATTCATTGTTCCTTGCTTTTTCGTTTCTCTTGGCCGCAAGATCAGCGAGGGCGCACAAGACAACTCCTGTCTCGCTCCCGATACTCAATACTGCGGCCTTCTTTCTGCTCCTCACAACAAGACTCAGATATCAACGCGTTCATCCCTGCAATATTTTACCTCGTATTGGCACTCAAGTGATGCATTGCTTATTGCTGGTTCGTTTCTCTTGGCTGCAGCCCGGACATTCGAAGCATCAGTAACTTTCGGGATTTGTTGTTGTTGTTGTTGTTGTCGCTGTTGCTGTTGTGATCAGGTACTACCAGTATTGGCGCGTAGGCGATTTTTTGTTCGATCTTTGTTCGTTTCTCTTCGCCGCAGCCCAGACAACGAAGCGACAGCAAGCTTTCGGAGATGCTGTTGTTGTTGTTGTTGTTGTTGTTATCTTCACATAAAATGCCGTTCCGATCTCTGTACACAGTACCTTCGTCTGTCCGTACGAACCTAACACTCGACCGGTCGATTCCCGTGGTCACAGGCTAACTACAGTAATATTTAAACTCGAGTATAGGGATCCGAAGGGTCCGCAAGCCAATGGCAATCAACAACAGATCGTCATGAGTGCATGCAATGCATGAGAATAATCACAATCTCGATGCTGTTGCCTCCAGCCATGTCCAAATGTTTTTTACCTTTGGGCAGTGGAGGCTACACGTACAGGAAGCAGATACAAAACAGGAACAACAAAACGTTTCGAAAATTATTTTATCCTCCTGTGGTGTCCAATCTCTGTGTTTGTGTTCATGTTTTGTGCGTCGTGTACCTCCGTCAAAATTCATTTCATCCTCCTGCGGTGTCCAATCTGTGCTCTTGTGTTTGTGTTTTGTGCGTCGTGTGCCTCCATCGAAATTAGTGTATCTTCCTGCGGTGTCCAATCTCTGTGCTTGTGTTTGTGTTTTGTGCGTCGTGTACCTCCTGGCAGAGGGAGGCGCTGAATCGGGCGTGCCTGGTGCGAGAGCTTCAGCTGCTGTTCCTGCACGTCATGGGAGAAGCCAGAGCCGCTTCACTCGGGCCGGGGATGGTACCCCCCCCTCCCCTTGCGGAGCACACCTCCGTTCTCGCCGAGGTACGCATATCCACTAGAAATCAAATCATTTAGACTATAGTCGGCTGTTTCACCTGGGCCGGGCATGG